TTGGCTTTTATCATGATCACAAGGCCCATATTTATTAAAAACACAAACATCCATCTTTTGATAGCTTTGGATCTAACGTGCTCCAAACGCGATAACCAGTACTTCCGCAAAAGCGGACTTCACCCTAATTCCCGCAGTTGGGAGTCTAATGGCGAGCATTCTTCCGACGCTCCGTTGCCCATTTATATCTCCCACATCGAGATCACCATCAAAACTTCAACAGGCTTTACCACCTGTCACAACCTGCCTTTCCGCTAACACAACCGACGTCTGCAGCAGCGATGCTGATTTGATCTCAGCCTGTCTACGTTACAAGTGTGCCAAGATATGACGTATTGGTATCACCACTCACACAGGAATTCAGCCTGATGAAGAAATGTCTCAGCGGTACACAGTGCTGATGGGCATTTAGTCATTGCATCTTCGTATTCAGTTATATCCGGCTCCATGAACATCTGGGATAAAAACACAGTTGGACCCCTGTGCCCTTTGACTGACATATATCCAGTACCCTGTTGCACGAATTGGTCACTAGGTCGGTTGCGGCCGACATAGATTGACTATCGTAACTTCGTCAGCTATTGCACCCATTCGCAGCATTGGATGACTGACAGGCCCTGAGAGTTAATTGGTGCACGGCAGAAAAGAAAAAAAGGAGATCGGTGTTGAGGACTCCATCCTAAAGTCACTGTCCACCACGAAAAAGCTGACGCAGTATAGTCTCTCATGACACAATAAACTTTCTGGTTTGCAAAGTTGTCACCTGACATGATAACTGAACCAGTGCAGTTTGTTCCGTGTGCGCGTGGAATGACCGAATTGCGAACATATAGTAAAATTACACTGGTCCCTTTTTAAAGTGGTTTCTATGGCAGTCTCACTTATATAGGAACCCGACCACTTCCCTGTTTTTATGAAAACCATGTCCATCGTGCGGGGACTAGGCCGTGTGTGGTACACAAAGGTCGGTTTGCTTGGTAAACCACCGAAACAAAGGTTACTACCGGTCGTCATGCCTCCGGTTTGGTGGCAGCCCCGGTTGGCCTAAGGCGTGACGATTCGGTGGATACGGTGTAAGCTGTGAGCTGTGATACTATGTTGTGCGGCTTATAGCACAGATTGTTGTTCACAACGTTCGAACTAATACCTATAAGGATGACGTGCTCACAAAGAGCCCTCCACAATCTGTAAGTTCCAAAAAAGGGAAAACGACTTGTGACTCAACCAAAGGCATCGAAGGTTTCACAGCGTCCCTCCTAAAAGGTAGTTTTCTACAAGTAGCAAGCTGGGTATAGGTTATTGGAGAGGTTGCTGATCGTCTCAGTAGGCTAAGGTACCAGCTTCTATTTTTCCGCCGTTTCGTATCCAGACATTGAATCTTTAGTTCGGTTAAAATAATATATAAGTTAAAAAAATGATGGTGTTTTGGGAAAGTGAATATTTAGCGCAGAAATAAAAGAATATCAAGGGAGGTTTATAGCCAGTCCTCAAACCTTTAGTCAGCAGGCCATGAGTTTTCTCGGAGAGTTGGTCAGGGTTTGGAAGTTCGACGATATCAGTTCGCCTTGTAAAGAGATTCTGCGAAATAGGTTTTGGGCCATCAAGTTGTTGAACAATGGAGTAGGCGTCATCCTTCTCATCCTGAGACGTAAAACTGGCTCGCCCAAACGCGTGATTGTTTGGATGAATGCCTACGTAAAAAAGGCATATAATTAGAAGAACATGAGACGTGGATAGTGTAGATGATGATCCTGATGTGAATGAAGCAGCCTCGACACACTTTTAACTGGTCAAACGTAAGTCTTCACCATCTTGAGTCAAATGAACTGCTAGGAGACAATGACCATCTACCAATGCTCCCAAAGATGTGCACCGCTAGTTAAACACTACGATGGCACATCGACACGCAGTTTCTAGGTAGTGTTAGGAGCCATCCTAACCGACGCGCGTGCATGCAGCCCTGGCGAGTCGCTCGCACTCCATACCACCGGTCCGCTCACACACAACACATGTGATGATGCCGCGGAAAGCAGCGGCCAGGCTTCGGACTCTTACAAGCCAGCCGGATGAGTCAAAGCCAATCGAGCCCCTACTTGCTTGAGAGCACAATCTGATTGGCTCGATCTCGTTATGCATTGCTTGCCTTAAATATGCTGTACAATGTAAGCTAATGAACTCCCACTTTGGGCCCTTCTTGGTATGTCCTTCCTTGGGGATTCAAGCAAGGCTTTATTAGACGGTGACATCTAGACCTTGGCAACATTACAACAGGTGACACTCTTAATGCTGAAATCCGAACTGCCACCC